TGAGTACGTCTTTCATATTTCTTATGTACTACAAGCTCTGTTTCATAATAATATAATCACTGAGCTAATGACAATGCGTATTCATTTTTACATTTTTGAGTTTCTTCCGTATTTTACTTTGATATTTACTTTTCATAATGACAATTAATTAACAGGTTAGGTACTCCCTATTTTGGTGAGATGGAGACGGGTGAAGACATCATTTTTGTATTCAAAATCTGATTATCCTATATTTATTTTGATGTTTCATTAATTTGTTTCCTTTTTCATTGTTGTTAGATATTTTTATTAGTTAGTAATTTATTGGCAATCATGTAAAAATTTAAAAAATAGGTTCAAGAAGATTTCGTATTGCAGAAGAAGATTCAGAATCAGATTTGAAGTTAAAGTTGCAGATTTTGTTGCGTTGAGTTTTGAAGAGATAAGGATAAAGGCTTGGTCAAAGGAAGATAAGATATTGGTTGAGATTTGAAAAGATAAAGAGATAATACCCTAGTCAAAGGAAGATAAGACATTGGTTATTTGAATTTAAATGGGATTCTATAAAGAGATAATGTGGAGATTAAGTTGTTATTTTAAAGGAGTAATTCGGATTTGAAAAGTAGATGTATAATCCGAATATGCATTGATTTGTTTCAATTTGGTAACTACCAGATACACTTCAAAAGCATCATCTTTGGATATATATATATATATATATTTGTGTGTGAATGATTTTGATGGGCATTGGCGTGGAGATGGCTAAGAGTATATAAATGCCAAAAAGATGATGATGAAGTCAACGTGAAGATAAAGATGTTGGTATATATAATATTTGAATCGGATTTGGATAAGGGGTGTATAATCCGGATTCAAAAGGAGATTTAGTTTTTAGTTTGAATTTAAAAAAATGCTTAACATGGAGAGAATATGGAGGAAGCTTTATTTAAGGTTTCATTGCAGCTGATAATGGTAGAGAAGTTTTATAGAATATTTTTAGAAAAGAGTCTGTGAGTTTTTTATGAGCCTTGTGCATTATTGAGATCGTCCTTCGGGAGAGGAATTTGTTGCTTTCGGGAGGAAGCTTTGTCGGTCAAAGGGAGTTCACCGTGCAATTTAGAAGACGTGTGGTGCACGCTAAACAGAGTCATTGTGCGATTTCATCACAGCGGCGTCATAGTCTAGGAGGGAGTCTTTGAGTGAATAAGTCCGTCAGTGTTGTAATTCTTGAAGTATAGTGAAACTGTTTATTGTCTGGGCGTGGCCCCGCAGAGTATGTGTGCGCACCGAACTGCAATACCATATTATGTGTTCTTTTGATTTCTGCACTTTATTCTACTCTAACAATTTGAATAATAAGAAATCCGGATCTTAATTAATTAAGTCATCTTCCAAACAATGTTCTAACATTATCTGAAACATCGGACGTAACATCAAATTTAACAATTGTCTAGAGATATAAATGTCTTTGTATGTATAGTACTTGATAGTTTTGTAAATAAATTAAATAGTAAACATTTTTAGACTTAAAAGGGCTCTAAATAGACATTTATGTTGATAACTTAGGCAACAACTTACTCTCAGTGGCCGACAGGGCATTATCTATGAGCCATGACATTTGTTGTCCCACGTCCAAAGAAATAGGCATAACGGGAAATTAGCAACAATCCGCTAAACGACCATCCTCGTAAAAACTACGTTCAACAACTCTCTTATCACCCGTTCACTTTGCTGATTCGAGTTTAGAATTCGAGTTTTTCTACAGTAAAAAGCTCTCACAAACAATCACATCTAACTTTTTTGCTACAGTAAAAAGCTCTCATATAAAATCACATCTCAACTCAAATTCTAAACTCGAATCAGCGAAATGAACGGGGCCGAGTCGCATTACATAATCACATTCTCAAAATCGTACATCCTCAACCGGTTATAGATATAAAAGGTCTGTTTAGTTCGCTGATTAGAGTTTTTAATTTGAGTTGAGATATGAATTTATGTGAGAGTTTTTTGATGTAGTAAAAAAGTTAGATGTAACTGTTTTTGAGAACTTCTTATTGTAGTAAAACTCAAATCGGTGAAATGAACGGGTCTAAAATGATATCTTTCTATTTATTATACGAGTTAAAAACGCGCTCAAAATTTAAGACAACGGTTATAAAAATCGTCATAAAAAAAAGAGGAAAAAAGAAAGGATAAAAAAATAAAAACAAAAGTGGAAAAAACTCTTTGGCTTTTTTGGGTGGATTTTGTCCCTTTTTTTCTTTCCTTCTTGCTTACTTTCTTCTAACAATTTTCTTAAGAATGGGCTTTTAAGTAGAGTTCCATCGATAATTGGTATTTTTCTTATTTTTATTTTATTTTTTTAACTTTCTACCCTTTTTTTCTCCCTTTTTTCTTTTCTTTGTCTCCTCTTTTTTCATTCTTATCTTTTTTTCCCTATCATACATATCATTGTCTAATTTTTTTTCTCACTCTTTC